GGACACACACACACAGAAATGTCCTCATACAGTTGGTGACAGCGTCTAACCCACACAGAGAGATCAGAGGCTGGTGGCTCGTCACACCTCAGTGTTTTGAAGGAGTAGGAGGTCAAAGGTCAGCGTGGTGAGATGGTGAATCTTTGCTCCGAGGATGAATCAGAGCGTTGTCCCTGTAAGAACGGTGGTATTGATCTGCACTCTCTGATGTGATCAGATATGAATCAGCAGCTTGTCAGAGTGGCGGTTTCAGGTCGCTGTGATCCCTGCCTGCTTACGGTGAATCGCTGTGGACACGTCAGACAGAGAGTTTGGGATGTGATGACATCTGTAGACACGTCTGTATGAAACGGTGTGGAACCATCTGCCTCCACAGATTAGACGGGCCTCTGTTTTTAAATGTCTTCACCCTGAGAGACGATGGCTTTCAGTTGACAGGATGTTGTTTTTTTTATTGTAGAGCTTATTCTTTTGCTGTTTCGTTGTGTCTGCTGTTCTTATGTCCTGTGCTGGCTGTTTTACAGTGCTTTATAAATAAAGTTGGATTGGAACTCGAAGCTCTGTTTGCTGCTGCAGTCACTGATGACATCACCTAAATGTTGAGCTGAGCCTGAGCTCCACAGGACGCTAAAGGTGTTAGAAACAAACGCTCAAACTAGCCCTTGTGAGACTGCAAAGCATACTGGTTGGTTTGTTGGAACAGCCTGCTGAGCGGATGTGTAGCTCGCTGCTACCAGCACAAGGACAAAGTTGCTGATGTTGGTCACATGGACTTTATCAGAACAAATCACATGACACTTAATCTGAGCATGCTCATTAAAGAGGTTCCACGAGGCAGGATTCCTCAGGGTTCCGTCTGCGGTCCTCTGCTCTTTCTGACGCAGCTTACATTTCCAGCCTCGGTGTAGTTAGTGTGAATGCTTGAAAAGCATTCACAGTATTGTTCTTCAAATCTTTATTTTGAATGGCGAAAATCGCCATTCAAACTTTAAAAAATTCTGCTATTTCTGCTAATGCGGGCTATGACTTTTGGTGCTCATAACTTCTATTCTTTTTGAGATATGGAATTTTTTTTGCAATATTTTTTGCCCATTTCTGCCATATTATCAGTGGCTTCACTGATTTTCCTTGCCGGGTTGACCTGTTTTTTTTTTTTGCTCAGTGAGATGAGCATCTGTTCTCAGACTGGGAGGCCCGGGTTCAAATCCTGCTTATGGCAACATTTCTTTCAGTTAACAGTTAAACTTTTTTAACTCTTTTCAGCAGAAATTCTGCTCATTCACCTCTTATCAGCACAAATCTCAGCTGTTTTCAGAAAAAGACTCGTTTGAGCACAAATTCGGCTGATTCATCTCTTTTCAGCACAACGTTTTGCTTCTTTACCTCTTTTCAGCAGAAATTCTTCTGATTCACCCCTTTTCTGCAAAATGTTTAGCCTTTTCACCTCTTATCAGCACAATTCTCAGCCGCTTCTGCTTATTTCAGCAGAATTGTCAGTCTCTCCAACTCTTCTTTCTCAGGAGACTGAAAAGATTCGGCATGAGCCCCCGCATCCTCAGGACCTTCTATCACTGTGCCATTGAGAGCATCCTCACTGGATGCATCACCACCTGGTATGGCAACAGCACCGCCTA